ACACGCTGACCCGGGGCCGGGCTGTCCCTGGCATCTGGGCCGAGTGTGGGGGAGTCCCCGGGCCCTGCGCTCCCAGCTGCAGCCAGACGGGACTCTCAGGCGGCAGGTAGAAGAGAAGGGTTATTGGGTCCCAGAGACAGTGTAGCCCAGACTTCTTGTTACAGGACCCATCAGTACAGCCCATCTTGGGGACCCCTTAAGCCAGCCCTGCCTCCTGCTTTGTCCTGCTTCTAGCCCCAAGGTGCTATCTGCTGTCGCCTGGGCCTCAGGACATGAGAGACTGAACATACTTCCCCAGTGAGTCATACCCAGCCTCCCCTCCTCATGCAGCTAGTGCCCAGGGAAACTGAGGCGCGTGTGCACACACACGCACACACACAGTTACTCCCGAATAGCACAGGCCAGTAGGACTCTCACGTATACAACAAAGCAACCAGTGAACGGCCAAACCAGAGTGAACACAGGACGACAAGCGTGGACACACTCCCCGCGCCATCCCAGAGGGCTCCTGACACGGTGGCGTGTTACCACCCCTCTGCAATGTGCTCAGGGCCTGTGCCGAGTGCCTCTTCGGTTGGAGTGTTTCTGCAGGGCAAGCGGGGTGCGTGCCAAGGTCTGGGAATTGGACCCACCTTTTTTGCTCACAGCTCCACATTATAGTAGCAATTCTTGCCCCGTTGCCTTGGCCTCTGGCCTTATGCGTTAGGCCCTCGTCGTACTCGACATCACAGCCCAATGCAATGGTTTTATCATTCAGTCCTTTCAAGACTCAGATCGCCTTGCAGGTTTATGCCTCATACTGTCCCTTTAATCTGCAAAGCGCCTCCTGCCCCGCCCGTCCGCCCGTCCCCATCACAATCTGCTGTTGCTTCAAAGACACGGCACAACTCCCCTCTCTGGATACCAGCCCTCTGCCAAGGGAAGTGCTAAGGGCGGCCGCGAACCAGAAACGAACACACACTGGAACTGGGTTCGGGAAGGCTGCAAAGTGCGGCGACTCCTTCGCTCACACCCGCGCTAGTGGTTGATGGTCCTGCAGGACCGGATCCAAGCTGCCACCGCCCCATCACTCCCGCGCAGTAGGGAAGTACTAAATGATGGGGAGACGTGGTTTGATTGGATCAGATCCGGGCAACAGTGTTTCCAGAAGCTCCAGGCAAAGGGTTCATTCCCATGCGTCCCGGCATAACAAAACCCACTAGACCGGAAGGGAGGGTGCCTCTACATAAGAAATAAGAAACGCAGTGTGCGCGATGCAAATTGCCTATCTTATTTTAAAATGGCTTATTTTGAAATCTGGCGTGTCTACACAGTGCAAATGTCGAAATAACGCGCTATTTCGAGACATCCCTTAACCCTCGTGGAATGAGGGTTACTGGGATGCCGAAATAGCGCACCCGTTATTTCAAAAAATATTTCAAAATAACGGGTGGTTTGTGTAGACGCGGGGTAGCTATTCCGGGATACGGCCAACATCCTGAAATGCCTCGCAGTGTGGACGTACCCTGAGAGAGTTTTATTGAACCCTAATCACTTATCTAAAGGCCATCGGTAAAGCCTTTCAAAACTCGCTGCCTAAAATGAGGCATCTTCATTGGACCCATTCATAAAGCGAAGCAGGTTTTTAGCAGGGCAGAGCATCCACAAAACCTCTGAGAACCAAGTGGGATTTTTGTGTGCGCTGTAACATGCAGCTAGGTGCAAAAGTTTTAAATGTCTGGACATTTCCCTCGGTACTGCACAATATTTCATACAAACATTGCAGCCTCTTGATTCTTCAGAAGGTAAAAAAAAACCAGACAAGAATGGGGCAAGAAACTCGGTAGCCCAGCCCCAAAGAACTTTCACTGGACTGATAATGGTATCCATGTCGAACACCACCCCACATAGGCCCCACATCTCTGTGCATTTATTCCTCAACTTGCGGTACGAACGGGCCAGCGGGGGGGCGTCTGCCTCCCCCACAGGTAATGAAGTTAAAGCGCCTTCTAGCGAACTCCACTAAGTCACATTCTAACTCCGCATGGTTTCCTTAGTGTTTTATTTGAGGAGCATTAAAACATTACAAAGACGTTGCATTATAGCAGCGTGTAGCCTAGTTCCAACACGGGTGCGGGAGCGGCAATTAAAACGTCTCATCGTTCCTTGCTGCCGCCAGAAGCTCCGTAGCTGCTCCCGTCTGCAAAAACGCAGCAAACTCAGCGCATGTCATTTGATAGTTGAAGTGCACAAACAGCTCAGCTCTCACCAGGTCCGTGTGCAGCTGGTTCCTTTCCTCAGCCCCCACGTTCGCCATGATGCTGAAAATGCGTTCCACGAAGGCACTGCTGGGGGGGACAGCAAAGGCGTGCTGCACAATCTTCAGCAAGTTTGGGGCCTCGCAGCACTTAAAGAGTTCTACCCAGACGTCCGAGGCGGGAGGGTGATGGCGGCGCCCCCGCCGCGGCTGGGTTGAATCCACATGATTGTCTGACCCCTTTAGGATGGGTAGCACCTCGTTCAGCACACATATCTCCGTAAACAGCTCATCTAGATCCACTTGAACGTCCAAATTTGTCACCAAAGCACAGAGCTTGTCTAGCTCAAGAGGCCCGTCCAGATGAAGTGGCGCACACAACTTATAGAAAGAGTTTTCGCTGAAATCAAACCTCTTTTCTAGGTACTGCAGCATGCGTGTGTACGTCTGCCGGGCATCTCCGAGAAACTTACTCTGCTTGTCAGGCTGTAGCCTCTCCAAGAGCCGTGCTACCTTGTACCCATGGAAGCCTTTCTCTTGGCGATTCCGAATCTCTGCTCTGAGCTTGCTGAGCGTGGCGTACAGTTCGGTTACTTGAACGGAATCACTTTCAAGAACTTTGATTGTGGTGTTACACAGGCTCAGCATGTTGTGCACAAAGCAGAGGTACAGTTCGGGCAGAGTAATAGAGTCCTCATCGGAACTGGTGTCCTTGTGCTCCGAAAGAAAGGCCCAGATTGTGTGGCTCACGCCTGCCTCTCCTTGACTCACGAAGTAAGATTTGAGTGCAGGCCAATTCTTCAGTAACCTGTCTACGGCAGCAAAAAGGGCCACAAAACGCTTAGGTACTTGGTGTAAGATTTCTGAATATTCTGTCTCCATGAAGTCAAAGAACTCTTTCAGTTCACTGATATTCTTGGCACTAGATGCGAATTCACTGAAGACCTTGAAGACCAAGTACTCTATGTCATAAGGGAGCTTTTTCAAGCCATGCTTTGCTGTATCGTGGACTATTTGCGCACTGCAATGCCCAGGCACAAGGTTTGGTAAGTCCAACATTTGTTTTAGGTGCACAAAAACAGACTTGTTTTCTCCAAAATTGCCCGCTCCGTATGCCACAATTTTATTCTGTATCAGGCCAGCCTTTTGAAGACAACGTCTTAAGTTGTCTGCGATCGCCTCTGATGTTTCAGCTGCATCCTCGAAAGAATCGACGATCGACGTGCAGATCCCCTTGTCTTTATTAAAGTAGTGGATGGCAACTGGGAAGAGTTTTGTGGGCCCTTTTTTAGAAGCAACTGTCGCTACTGAGAAAGGTGTTGAGCCAATGTCTTGCATGGCCCTTTTCAGGGAATGCGGTGCTAATACATTCTCAATCAAAGCACGTGCGTTTGTCATTCCACAGTGAATTTTGGAAGCTATCTTGGAATCGGGGAAAATGCAGCGGTACAGCTGAGTTCCACAATCTTGCGAAGGGTCGCCGAGGTGGTGTTTAACTCTGTGATATGCTAAAAGCAATTCAGCTGTGTGCAGGGGTTGCTCTTCGGCATTATCCGTCCTTCTGGAGACTTTGTCGCTGGTCCTACCCCATCCCTGTCCTTGCGCTTTGACTTTGTGACCCTTTGTTTCTGCATGGCGCTTGATAGCTTTTGCAGAATCAAACTTGACGGTGAGCTGCACCCGACAAACAGAACAGTAGCCCGAGTCGTCGCTTGCCTTTATAAGCCAATTCCGATACTCTGGCCGTTGCAGCCACTCGTCTTTAAATGTGCACAGCCTTCGACTCTTTTTCTTGTCGGGTTCAGTCATTTTGTCTCCCTGCTAGTCTGGCTGCAGCACGGTTTCGCCACCAGATCAGAGGGTTAACGGTGGAGGCCGGTTGCTCCCTGCTGCTTAAAAAAGTTAGTCAAAGAGTCAATCACACATTGTTTTGACAGATATTACACTCACTTCGGGTTTTATCTGTTACAGGATGCTAGACTATAGAAAATGGCAGTAGCTTTTGGTGTCTGGTCAATACTTCCGATGAGATACTGTACAAGTCCCCTTAAAACTGGACTTTTTCTACTTTATCCTCTGGAATGTGTCAAGCTATTTTTGTTTCCGGTGCAGCTAAAGTTAATATAGTAACAGAGATATAGCCGTGTTAGTCTTGTCTAGCTGAAACAAAAAACAGGACTAGGTAGCACTTTAAAGACTAACAAGATAGTTTATTAGGTGATGAGTATTAATCTGAGGAAGTGGGTCTGGCCCACGAAAGCTCATCACCTAATAAACCATCTTGTTAGTCTTTAAAGTGCTACCTAGTCCTGTTTTTTGTAATAGTTAATATAGGTGTTGTGACCAGCATGCGCAATGAGGGTGCATCTGCACTGCACCCTTAGCTCACAAAAAGCTAGGCAATTTGAGCTACACAAATTGCCTAGCTTATTTTGAGTTAGTTTCCAAATCGCTTATTTTGCAGTGCCAAATTCTGAAATAAAGTGCTATTCCAAAACGTCCCTTATGCCTCGTGGAATGAGGTTTACAGGGACGTCGGAATAGCGTGCCTGTTTTATTTTGAAATAACGGGCTTGCTCAAAAGACGCAAAGCAGCTCTTTCAGCATACCGGAAAGATCTTGGAATAGCGTAGACCTCCCCGCATTCTGCAAGGGCCTCTCTATTTGCATCAGTTCAATTTGTGCCGCCCTGGGCAGAGCATCACGTGGGGCAGCCGGCACGTCAAACTCCATGCTTGCAGGTTTACCATTTGCCATGTCTGCGAGAGCATTATTAAGCCATGCCTCGGTGACAGGAATACGGTCACAATATGCCTGGGCCTACTTCGATCTCCATGCAGATGGGCCTTTCACAGCACAGGGCTGTAACCGCATGACAGGTGTCTCCGTGGTGGGGTGCCATGAACAGCCTGAAAGGGGGGTGAGATAAGATGTGACCATTCCATTGTCGGGGCAGGGTGGGTTTACAGCCGTGCAAAGCAGCGGTTCTCAACCCCTCCCCAGTACCGGACCGTGTGCGGGAGTCGGATGTGTCTTGCGTCCCCCCTCCCAGTTGAGCCTCACTAAAGGAACTTCCTTAGAAACTCCGGCCTCTGCGTACGGGGCGTCACGGCGCAGCGGGATGGAAAGGCGCCTTTGTTCTCAGCTGGGCCATCGGATTGCGACCCCAGGCGCTGGGCGAGAACAACAGACGGGCAGTAGCCACGGGTGGCACCTGAGGTCAGGTCTAACCGGCGCTTTCCTGCACTGGAACTTTCTGGCTTAGGGGTGTGAACACCCCCCCACACCCAGTGCAGCAAGGGGCCCAGGTGAGCGGGCCCAGCGCGGTGACATGCCCCTGGTGGAGGCAGACTGGCGCCCCAGAGGGGTTTGAACCCGCTCCATGGCCAGAGCATGGCCTGACTGTGACTGGGCAGCGCAACTTGGGCAGTTTGGCTAGGGGCACCGCTGGGTGCGGGGTTCACATGCCCCTGGTGGAGGCAGACTGGCGCCCCAGAGGGGTTTGAACCCGCTCCATGGCCAGAGCATGGCCTGACTGTGACTGGGCAGCGCAACTTGGGCAGTTTGGCTAGGGGCACCGCTGGGTGCGGGGTTCATTGGGGAATAGTCCAGCCAGGGGTACCTCTGGGTGCCCTGGTGCAGTGGGGTGCAGCCCGGCTCGGGGGGAGCGGGGTGC